GTGTGTGTGTGTGTGTGTGTGTGTGTGTGTTTCTCTAATCCCAGACTGCTTTCAGCATCGGTGACTGAGCAGGTGGCCTCGACAGACACACACACACTGCTTTTACTTTGAAGTCATGGTAGAGGTGTCCTTTTACTGAACCGTGTATGTGTGTGTGTGTGTGTGTGTGTAGCTTTACTTAGCTGTACTTCTTGACAGATTTGTTCTCAGAAATAGCTCAGTCTGGCCATGCCTTCCTATGTGGACGTTTGTGGACATCATTAATGGGAAAAATGATATTGAGTCATTGTGGGTGGGATAATTCACTAAGTAGTCATTCAATTGCTAGTCAGTTAGGGAGATTTGATCTCTGTTTGTGTACACTGCATTGCAATTATTTTATATTACAAATTCTGTAAACAGAATGATGCAGGAATGCCTTGACTTTGATGGGAAAACATGAGATATTCAATGTTAATGTGAAAAAAAACTGACATTTTTGGAATTAATTGTATTTGATGAAAAATTTACAGCAGTGTCAGATTTTTTTTCATAAAGCATCCGTAACATTAGTGTCTAGAAAAGCGCTATATAAATGTAAGGAATTATTATCATATCATGATTAACACTTTATTCTGTATCATTGTTATATGTGCAATAATAAAGTCAAACACATTTTTAAAAATATAAATAAAGTTGATTTATATATGTTTTTGTTTTTAGTTAACATTTTTTCAATTAAATTAATTTTGTGAATTTAAATGAACATGACATCCAGTGGGTGAACTAGGTATTGCATTCCTTGATCAAAACAAAAGCAAGAGCAGGTTGCCAGATTGAGGACCAACAGGAGCGAGTGACTAAAAGCCGATTTAAATCATGTTCTACATAAAAGCTATATAATTCTATGTTATTATTATTATTATTATTGTTATTATTATTATTATTATTATTATTATTATTATTATTATTATTATTAATATGTGTAATAATAACAATAATAATAATAATAATATTATATAATTATGTTATTATTATTATTATTATTATTATTATTAATATTAATATGAGTATTTATAATATTATTATTATTATTATTATTATTAATATTTATAACAATAATATTGTTATTATTAATATAATAATGTGTAATAATAATAATATTATATAATTATATTATTATTATTATTGTTAATATTTAAATTTAATATTTAATAATATTAATAATACTAATATTATTGTTAATTTTATTATTATTATTATTATTATTAATAATAATATTTATAATAATAATAATAATAATAATAATAATAATAATGATGATGATAATAATAATAAATTATTATTATTATTAGTATGATTATTATTATTATTGTGTTTTTCACATCTGTAGCAACATTTTAAAGTTTTTTTTCCATCTTTTTTTGACAACTAGCAGCAATCGTACAAGCAAAACAAAAATAATATCTAATTAGTTAGTTGGCTACATAGTTGCTAGGGTGTTATGAATGATTGTTAGGTATCCAATTAGATTTCTGTCCTGTCCTGTTTCTGATTGGCAATAGTGATGCTTGGTAGATGCAGCTAAATGATTCATTCATTCATTCATTCATTCATTCATTCATTCATTCATTCATTCATTCATTTATCCGTGACGCCCTAAATAAATCAAACAACTCACAACAAACTGGAAGAAATATATCTGAGGGAGTCTGTTGAGAAATGTATTTATGACAGGAGTGATTTTGGATTTTTACTGTTATGTTTTATGTACGAGGGCCTGTTAAGCTTGAGCGATTCTGTCTGACGGGACACGATATCAGAAATAAGAAAGTAACCAATGTCTCTTCAGAAATCTTGCTTGGCATATTCTGGAAAGGAAAGACACTTAAGCTGCATGTTGAAACAAATGAGTTGAGTGTGAGTGATTGATTATATTATTCCTGCTTTGTTTTTTGGGGCTTTTGGCAGCTCCACTTTCTTATGAATTGCCTTTTTAGACAGGAAGAGTTGTTTCTAAGTGCTTCAATCAAATGTGTTTGATCACACCTGGCAAAACACCTGCAAAAAGCTCTTCTGAGGTTTGCAATAATTCAGAAAGATTGGATTTTAGCTGCATTTTGTTGGTTATTAATGGTGAAGGATAGGGATTGGATGCTTCCCGATGGAGGTTTACTTGCTCAATTGAATATTTTATGGCTTGATTTTTTTTTTTCTTTCAAAACATCCTTTGGGTGAGTTCACAAACATTTGTTTATATATCATCTCTTTCTTTTGGGAGTTGAAATGCCCAAGAGTGGATGGATCGAGAAAGAGAGGGAGAGAGAGAGTGAGAGATCTCCTGAAGGCTGCGGTAGGACTATAAATATCATGTCTAGTTTTTCATACTAGCTGTTGACATGGCCACAGGAAAAAAAGAGAGCAGGACAGAGAAGAGATATCCATGAATCGTGTCCGATTTAGATCCAGAAATGTCAAAGCGCTTGTTGTTGGTTCTGCACACAAACCCAGACACTAACTA